TCGGCGATAGGTTACGGTGCTTGCGATATGTGCTACGCTTGAAGGGATTCTTCAATTCTCACAACTTACACTCGCTATTTGCTGAAAAATAGATTTGAAGAAAGTGGGAAAATTTTCCCAAACTCCCCTATTTATACTAAGAGGGCCGAATGGGAGGGTTAAGAGGTGAGAAAGGGGATACACTTGGCTTAATTTTAAGAACAACATAGCTTAGTCACTCATAATCTTGCTTAGTCATTTCTTAACCACACCACATGTTGACACCTCCTACTAGCTTAGTAAAAGATGAGAAAAATCCTCCACAAATCTCCCACTAACATAACTTACGACACTTACATAATTTGGGAGCAAAACCGCACGGCTTTTTAGCTAATAACATGATTAGTGATTAATTAATCACTCCATTATATTTAATTACTAATTAAACATAATGCTTAATTACCAAAATTATTCTGAACGTAAACGGTACGTCGAAAATAATTTCCGATAATTTCGACTGAACTGACTGAAAATAATTAATTCCAAAAATTAATATCGGAACTAAAAATATAATTTATACTGAAATTGACGGGATATTACATTGGGAATCCATGGAGAATCACAAACTGAGATTGAATTACCACTCCCCACTGCATATCTAGCCCCCAAACTAAAAGCTTTTCTAGCCCCTAACCAACACCTCCAGAGCCATGAATCAGTGTTCCTAGGTTTATCCTCCATAATTCATGTTTTCCACAAATACTTCCCTCTCATCACCCTACTAACTAGAAGATTAAGATTTGAAAGGATTCTCCAAATTTGCTTGACCAATAAAGCATCATGAAAAGCAGCAAAATCAATAAAGCCCAGACCTCCCAAATCCTTAGTCCTAGCCAATTACCCAACTCTGCCCAATGAATCCTATTACCCCCTTATCATTTTTCCCCACCAAAAGTCTGCTATATCCCTACAAATCATTTGAATGATACACTTAAGAATCCTAAAACAAGACATAATATAAGTTGTAAGCTAAGTAAGAACCGATTTGATCAACAATTCTTTCCCTGCCTCACTAAGAAACTGATTTTTCCAATTTTTAACTCTGTTTTTCACATTATCACTCACAAAAGCAAAAGTCTCTCTATTTGATCTACCTATGTCTAAAGGATGGCCCAAATATCTGGATGAACTAACTCAAGAAACCCCAATCAAGATTTGACAGATTTTCCTCACTAATTCTTCTTGGATGTTCTTAGAAAATAGAATAGAAGACTTATCATAGTTGACAAGTTGCCCAGAGTCATGCCCATAAGAAGAAATAATATGCACAATCTGAGATGCATGGATGACATCAGCTTTACAAAATAAAAGAGAATCATCCGCAAACAAAAGATGGGATATACTAGGTGAATGCCTACCAACCTTAATGCCAGAAAAATGGCCAGGAATAAAAGATTGGTGTATTCAATTTGAGGAAGCTTCTGAAACAAGGATAAATATGTAAGGTGATAATGGATCACCTTGTCTCAAGCCTCTAGTAGGTTGTAGAAAGCCCAGATGGGTACCCTCAACATTAAAAGAATATGAAGTGGAACAAGTGCAGGCAAGAATCCAAGCAATAAATGTGTCACAGAATCTTGTATGTCTACAAATTCTAGCCACAAATGCCCATTGAACTCTGTCATATTCTTTTGCCATATCCAACTTTAAAGCCATGTAACTCATTTTACCTTTTCTTTTGTCATTGAGGTAGTGATTGCATTTATTAGCTATAATAACATTGTCAAGAATCTGTCTACTAGGTATAAAAGCAGACTGAAAAGTAGAAATGCACAAGTGGAGAACATATTTCATTCTATTAGCTATGATTTTGGCAATGATTTTATATATGACTGTACATAAACTTATATGTATGAAATCTGCCACTTTGGTAGGGTTCTTTTTCTTTGGAATCAGTGTGATCATAGAATGATTTAAACCTCTAGGCATTCTACCAGTAGTGAAAAAATTATCAACAACCAAGCAGACATGAAACATAACAATAGGCCAAGAATGTTGGAAAAACAAAGTAGTAAAACCATCAGCTCCAGGAGCTTTATCTTTAGCCATATCAAACACAACAAGTTTCACTTCTTCCTCCTCAACTTTTTTAACCAACACAGAATTAATCTCAGGTGTTATGGACTTGGGGATACCTTCTAACTTGCAATTTTGATCTAAGGGGTTGGAAGATTTAAACAAGTTATCAAAATACTTTAACAGCTCAATGACAGTTTCCTCAAAATATTTACAATTGGATCCATCATCTTTAAGAATGCTATGCAAACTGTTGATTTTCCTCCTATGATGCACACTATAATGAAAGTATTTAGAATTCCTATCCCCCTCCCTACGCCAATGCACCTTAGATTTCTGTTTGCAAAAATTTTCCTCATATTTATAGGCGAGGTTAAGTTCAGCCTTACATGCTATCCACTCACCCTAATCCCTGTTTCCCCCTAAAGCCCTTAACTGATCTAGATGAGCCTTACATCTCTCTATGGTTACACTGGCATTAGGAATTTTCTCTTTCTTTCAATTAAGAAAATCAACCCTCACATTTCTCAACCTATCATGGATGCTAAACAAAGCAAATCCAGACACAGGTTTTTTCCAAGCCAAATCTATCACTGAGTTAAAATCCTCATGTTTAATCCAGTTGGCATAAAAAATAAAAATTTTCTTAAACTTCTTATCAGAATCAGAGCAATCAAGCAACAACATGCTATGATCAGAAGAAATGAGTTTCACATGTTTCACCAGAGAATTAGGAAATTTAAAGAGCCAAGAAGGAGAAAATAAAAACATATCAAGTTTTTCCTCAATAAAGTGAACCCCTGCCCTATTGTTGGACCAAGTAAATGGATGCCCAACTATCTTAGTCTCTACAACACCAAGGGTGTTAACCAGATCCCTGAATTTTCTAAAACTACCCTCTTCCCTAACCATACCTCTCCTTTTCTCAGACTGGGATAGAATATTATTAAAGTCCCCAAATAGAAACCAATGACTACCCCAACTGAGGCTATGCCTAACCAACACTTCCCACTGAGAGGCTCTCACTCTCCCCTCTGTGCTAGCATAGACAAATATAGCCCAGAAATAATCAGAATGCCTTTGGAACTGGAATTTCACTTCAATACAAAAGTCCGAACTTCGAATTTCTAAGATTGACACTTTATCAGACCAAGTAAGGAACATCCCCCATTTGTTTCCCACAGGTTTGACATAGTGCCATTTGTCTTGAATTCTAAGCTTCCTACACATAAAAATGACAAATTTTTCTTTTTTTGTTTTGTTTTTTGTTTCAGATAAAAAAGCAAAATCAGGGTGATGGAAGGTAAGGGTTTCAGCCGTTCCAATGTTGGCTTTTACACAATTTAGGACAAACTTCTGGTGGCCATAATTCAGTTGCCTGTTTGCATTCAAATAATGTGCTTCCAAAATCAGACTGTGGCAGCGTTTTTCTTCAAAGCAAGTAATTTTGTATCCTTTTCCATCTTCATATTCAAACACTGTCCGAGCCATGCAACCAACTCTTTTTGAAACACGTTTTCGTTGAACTCCTCCTACTACTGAATTATTTGTCCTCGAGTGTGGTTTAAATCATTCTCTGCTGCAAACTATGAGTTGTTTTCTGACCATCCCACTTCTAAAAGGTTTGTTCGAGCTAATACGAACATCAAATCCACCATTTGCTCCATAGTTTCGGTAATATTGCAGTCCAGTTCAAGGGTTTCAAAGATCAAGCCAACTTTAGGCTTTATATCTTCTTTGACAATTGGTATCCAACACTTTGTTGAATTTGGTGATATCACCAATTGGAATTGGCATTCCTCATGTGTAATACATGCTGCGAAATATAATAGGAATCATAAGCCACTTAATAATTGCAATAGCTGCAAGGTAAAACTTATGTCTAGTTGCTAGGTTAGTTGTGTCTAGCTGCTAGGTTAATTATATGCTGTTGCTAGGTTAGTAGTCCGTTGGTGCTAGGTTAGTTGTCTGTTGGTGCTAGGTTAGTTGTCCGTTGTTGCTAGGTTAGTTGATTGTTGGTGCTAGGTTAGTTATATATCCCTGCAAGGTTAGTTATATCCCGCTGCAATGTCAGTTGTATGCTGTTGCTAGGTTAGATTACTGTTGGTGCTAGGTTAGTTTCTGTTGGTTCTAAGTTACTTATCTGATGTTGCTAGGTTAGTTATGTCAATTTGCTAGGTTAGTAGTCTGTTGTTGCTAGGGTATTTCTATCATGTTGCTATGTTAGTTATGTCCAGTTGCTAGGTTAGGTGTTTTTAACTTGCAAGGTTAGTTTTATCTATCTGCTAGATTAGTTGTCTCTATGTGCTAGGTTAGATGTATTTAGTTGCTATGATAGTTCTATTCACTTTCAAGGTTAGTTATGTCCAGTTGCTACGTTACTTGTTTGTAGTTGCTAGGTTAGTTGTATACTCCTGCTAGGTTTTTTTTTTTTTTTTTTTTTTTTTTTTTT